CACTCAGAACACAGTCATCTGATCCCATCATGGGAACAACCACACAGAACTGGGGTCCAGCCAAGTTGACACACAGCTCCAACTATCACAATCATGTAAGCACTTGGATCTGAAGACCAAATTCCTAGCGTTTTGGCTGACACACTGTGAAATCCTGAGCTTAATCATCATCTTTCCATAATCCATATTTCACCTTTTTTTATACTTAAAGTATAAAGTTTAGGAAGTCAGATTCTGGAATCCTAAGAGAAGCATGTAACATGAACATAATACAGTATATGCATATTTCTATGTGTATGAAATATCTTACAATAAATATTATATGGCAAGGAAATTATAACCATATTAAAAAATGTAACAAGTTACTATAAAGCATATTTGGTAAATTTAATTTCTTCTTTCCTAGGCTTTTTCTTGGCTATTACACAGTTCACTTTTCATCTCACAGGTCTTAAGGAAACATTTATAATCTGTTTACACAGAATTTACAAGGAATTAATGAAAACTTTTCTATATTCTAAGCACTGCTACTTAAGCTATAAAGTTTTAATCATTCTCTGTTGATCCCCTTCAGGTAATAAATACACCTGGAAAATGCAGCTAAGATATTGCCAAAACTTTTCCAATACCTGAGTTGAAGAATGAGGTTGTGTTCTTAAAACCTACAGGTTACATGTCCTGTCCCATCTTATCCTCCTGTTGAAGCCTATAATTGCTAAAGAATGAAATATTTGATATAATAACTTTAAAAAAATCTATAGCAAAACAGATAAAATATAGAATGAGTCCTCAGACATTTGGATTCTTCTTCTGTTTTTTTCTCTTTTTTATTTTAAAGATAATTTTCTCTGAGCTTTAAAGCATAATTATTCATCTCAGTCAGTCTTTTCAAAAATCATGTGCGTCAGTTACAAGCAAGATTTGGGCCCCTTGTTTGGTGAAATCTAGCAAGTACTGATTACACACCCACCTTATTCTCAGTGTTGCGCAAGCCTTGGTAAATAGCAAGAATTACCAGTTCTTCTTAATGATTCCCAGATGGCACTGAGCTGATTCCTATCCCTAACAACCATCTAAATGTTCTAGTAGAAATGCCACTTGATTATACAAGCCTGTCTTGTGACCTCTCTATCACATACACTTTTTCTACATCTGCGCTGATTTGAGATGTAATTACCATTTCCCTGATGCTTCAGAGATATCGTTGTGTCAGTGTCCTTTGAGTCTGAAGATAATCCTGTAAACGTGGATATCCATGTGTGCAAGTAGACAAGACAGAAAGATTGATGTGATACTGGCATCTTTTCCCCTTAGCACACAAATAAAGCAGCTTTTTACTTACATCTGTTGTGTACAACGTCAGTTCACATTTGTAGCTTTGCTTCTGTCCTTACAAAGTGGCCAGTGATTATGGCATATCAAGTTATACTTTTGTTTCTAGTAGTTCTACATTTGCTATAGCCCTGTACATAGTATAAACTTGGTGTTAGATGCTGCTGCTAAACTACTCAAAAAGCCAGAGAGAGCAATGATGATGATAACAACATTAGCTGTGGCAAAGACAGTAGGAGTAATATTATATACATATATATATATTCCAAAAAGGACAAGGAGGCCACATCTTCTGACCTCCTCTAACCCCACAAGAGGAAGACAGAATCACCATCAGTAGCTCAAAGCCCATTCCTACAAGACCAGACATGTTGCCTCCCTCCAGCCCTTTCACCAACCATTCCTACCAAAGCACCCACCACCTCTCTCCTGGGTTCGATAATTCACTGCAGTGGCCACACAGAACTCACAGATTACAGGGTTTATTAGGGAAGCACCAGGCTAAATTCAAGTTCAGGAAAAACACTCAGTCTTTCTCCCAGCTCACAGTCTCTCCCAACAGTGAGTGTCACTTGGGGTCTCACTCAGCAATGCATGTCTCTTTCAGTAGCACATCTTCCTCAACCAGCAGTCAGAGAGAGACTTCTTCTGCCTCAAGGAGGCCTCCTTTTGACTGGCAGAGTGGCCAAACTAACCAGTCATAACATCAGAACTCTAAGCACCTGAGAGAGAGCAGGACCCTCCCAGAACATAGCTTTGTGTTGCGCCAACAGAAATATCCCAGGTGGAAAACTTTTACAATCAGGAGCTCCTCAGTTGCTCACAGCAAATTCCACCAC